AAAACAGTGCTGCAGGATGTTGTAGGTCAGTTAAGAGCCAGCTGAATGAAAATTACAGGATCATGGAATGTTTTGGGTAGGAAGGGACCTTAAAGCCCATCCTGTTCCACACCTTCCACTGTCCCAGGTTGCTCCAAGCCCTGTCCAGCCTGGCCTTGGGCACTGCCAGGGATCCAGGGGCAGCCACAGCTGCTCTGGGCACCCTGTGCCAGGGCCTGCCCACCCTGCCAGGGAACAATCCCTTCCCAATATCCCATCCATCCCTGCCCTCTGGCAGTGGAAGCCATTCCCCGTGTCCTGTCCCTCCATCCTTTGGAAACAGTCTCTCTCCATCTTTCTTGTAGGCTCCCTTCAGGTCCTAGAAGGTCACAATGAGGTCCCCTCCCTCATTTCCTTTCTAAATTCTGTGTTCCATAGTTATCATGGAACTAAGGGCATGAGTTAACCCTCTCTTCCCCTCATCATTGCATCTTCCTCGTGTTTTAATTTCCCACTTGTTGCCCTCTAGTTAAGCTGCTGCTTGGGTCTTGAGAAGTCTTAAGTGTCAAAAATTAGGGGTAAAAGAGGAGAGGATCACAAAAAAATAATCCTCTCCTCTGGCTATTTCAAGCAACAACATTTTTAGATAATCCCTGGGAGTAGGACACACTGTAAAACCAGGAAACAAATCTGTGTGATTCTTAAGGAGTTTGGTAGAGAAGACTCATATTTACCTGCTTGGTTTTCCAGCATTTTCAGCAAATAAATATATTTTTTCCATTTTATTTTGTTTTGCATACCTGTTGTCATTTTAGGACGTTTAAGGCAGCACATCCTTAACAGGAAAAATCTTATAAAAGCTGCTTCTGTTGGAGTTTTGCTGACAGTTCTGTGAATATTTTTTAAAGCGCCAGCAAAACAACATATTTAGGTTATTTTTATTTTATTTTAAAAACACCCTGGATGCAATGGGTGGGACATGGAGAACTGTCATCAACCCTGTGTTGCTGTCACTGGTTTTTGTGGTGCAAACCCAGCTCCAGCTTTGAAGTCCTTGTTTCAAAGACACCTTTGTGCCTCTGCTCCCTTTAGGGGACCTTTGGCGCCATGGAGCATTCCAAACGTCCCATTTCCCACCTTTTCCCAAACATTCTCAGCATAAACACAGCAGTCAGAGGTATCGAGGAGGTGGAAAAATGAGCTTTTCTCAAGTTTAACTGTTGGGTTGGTCTCCAGATTGGAGGTTTCTCCCTGAGGCCTGATCCAGCTCAGACATCTCATTTTTAGTCAAGGATTCCTCACAAGGCCTGGGCAGGCTCTCAAACATCTCAATTTTAGTCAAGGTTTCGCCATGAGGCCTAATTGAGATTTTTCCATGAGATCTGATCAAGGTTTCTCCACACAACCTGGTCAGCTCTCAAACATTTAGTTTTTAGTTGAGGGTTCTCACAAGGCCTGGGTGGGATCTCAAACATCTTGTTTTTAGTCAAAGTGTTTTCATTAGACCTGGTTGAGGTTTCTCCATGAGCCTGGGTGGGATCTCAAACATCTTGTTTATAGCTGAGGTTTCTCCATGAGGCCTAATTGGTATTTAGTCTGTGAAGCCTGGTTGAGCTCTCAAGCATCTAATTTTCAGTCGTGGTTTCTCCATGAGGCCTGCTCAGGCTCTCAGACATCTCATTTTTGGTGGTATTTGGGAGCAGAAGCTCCAGTTGAAGTTTGTGATTGAGGAACCTAGCTCAGTGGGCCAAAGTCCTCAGCCAGATTTGAAGGTCTGAAGATGCAAAGGTTTTTGTGTGGAGGATGAGATGTGCCCTGGTGTGTTGGGGACAAAGAAATTAATCACATATTTAACTGTTCTGAAATGGATGGATTGGGCTGGTCTCTGAAATATTGTTTGTACATTGCTTTGGGTCCTGTATCTGTGGGAGATTTTCATACTGGGGAACTCTAGGAGTAAAAAAAATTAACTTCCTGACAAAATTTGGTGCTCTTGGGCCCCACTGTTCCTAATTTTGTCCATTTTCAATGTAAGTTGGTTTCATGAAAATCTGGTCACTCCTGAGGAGAACTTGCATTGGATATTTCTCCACTCAAAGAAATGTCTATATTCACTCATTGACATTCTGCATAGGATGAGGGATTTCATTAAATGGGATAGTTGCCTCTTTTAGAGCATAATCTGACTCAATCATGAGATTGGTAGTTCTGCTGTGGGGTACCTGGAGCAGGTCATGGAGACCTATCCATGTCTCATCCTCTCAAACCTGCTGAGTGAGCATTCCTCCCCCCATCCCCCTCTTTGGTGCTAGGATTTTTTGCTCATTTTAAGTAAAAGTGACAATAGGAGTAAGGGGAATAAAAAACTCTGGTGTTTTTAATAGAAGCTGTTCTTACTGGACAAACAGAAATCTTCTTGGGAGGCACCTGGAGGATTTAAAAAAGGGAGGAAGAGCTTCACTTTTGTTCAAAAATGCTGTTTTGTGAAAGATTCCAGCTTGTCTGTTTGCTGAGGGACAAGATGGGAGGAAACAGCCTCAAGCTGGGCCAGGGGAGGCTGAGCTTGGACAGCAGCAGGAATTTCTGCATGGAAAGGGTGCTCAGGCCTTGGCAGGGGCTGCCCAGGGAGGTTTGGAGGTGTCCCAGGAAGGCACACTGAGTGCTGGAGGTGGCACTCAGTGCTCTGGGCTGGGGACAAGATAGGAACGAGCAACAAGGTGGGCTCCATGGTCTTGGGAGGTCTTTTCCAACCTCAGTCATCCTGGAATTCTGTAATTTTTGCCAAAATGCTTCTTCAAAGACCTTTGATGGTACCAGAGTTACCTGAGGAGGTATTGCTGCCTCTCAAGTGGGGCTAAAAGCAAGAGCCTTTTCTTTATTTCCACTTCCACGTACCCTGAATGAGTTCTTGGGCACTTTGCCTGCCCAGGATGGTGCTCTCACACTGGGCAGGTAGCAAGAATTCCATTAGAAGGGTGAAGCACACGGATGAGCTGATTTGTGATGGAAAACAAGCATTTAAGTGCAGGAGGGCTGCTAAAGAATGGGAGGAATGGATTGATTCAAGCACAAAAAATTGCAGGTGGAATTAGCTGTGAAAGAAATGGCTTGGAATACATAAGCATGAGGATGTGGGTGGCAGGAAGGGCGTGGAAAAAGGCACCAGTGAGGGGCAGGTCAAGCAAAATGAAAGCTCTGAGCACTCAAGGAAGGACTAGAGGAATGTGATTGGAATATTGGAAGAACTTGGCGGAGATTAGAGTTCAGTTTAAAAAAGAAGAGACAAAATATGCCCAAGTGAGAGGCAGCTTTAGGTACTTGAAGTTCAAATTTGTGTTCCTTCCGTTCCTTTGGCTGAGTTCTGGGTGGGAAGTTTGGGAAGGCTCATGCATGGGAATGGTTAGGATTTGTAGGTGGAATGTTTGCAAAGACTCACAGAGTGAAGAGCCATGTGTGGGAATGATTGGGAAGAATTAGGGGTGAAATTTATGGGTTGGAAGGTTGGCAAAACTTGTGGGTGGAAATTGGTTACAGCAGCAGGACTGAGACTCAGTTCTGCAGGTACTGGTGGTAGTTGGTGAGCAAGACCAAGAAATGGCCTTTTAGGGAGCAGGTTTATCATGTTAAATTGCCCAGAAATCATATAAAAATACCATTGATGTATCTAATGAATATGGATTACCTGTTGTAAATTCAGAAGACCTTAGTCCAGTATTTTCATTAATTAGATTTTTGAGTGCCTACAAAGCTCCATTTGAGCGGGGTCTGCTCCCAACCCCTCCTAAAATCAGGGCCTTCCAAGGAATTTCACCCTGGATGTTCAAAAATGTGCACTTAAAATCTGCTCTCCAGAAAAACTCAACATAAGCAATAAAACTCTGCAAGTTTGTGTCCAGGTCTTCTCCAGACTTTTTTTCACCTCCCTCTTCCCACTCTGGCACATGAAAATGGGAAAGCTGGAAGTTCTGTTATCAGTCTGTAAATGATAAAAAGGTTGGGGTGTAAAGATAAATAGACTGATGTCAACACAAAACTTTTGAAAAACATCTCAAGCTTAACCAAATTTGAGGTTTTGGATTAATTCCCCCATTTTAGCTCTAGTCATTCCTGGTTTATACATACATTGGGATTAGAAGATCTGATGGTGAATGCAGGGCATTTTTGGGGTGATTTTGTCCCAGATTTGGGCTGGGATAGAATACCCAATACCTCCAGCTCTCCTGGACATTTTTTGAAAAATCCAAGAGACATTTATCTCAAGGGAGATGCAGGAGAAGTTGGATGGGAAGCTCTTGGCATCCCCCAGCCTGCTGTTGGTTGAATTTGCACCAGCAGAACATCTGGGATGAAAATTCCATGGTTTGGGGGGAGGTCTAAATATCAATTGAAAGTCTTGATTTAGAAAATATTTGGGTTTTTTGGTGATGTATAAATGCACATTGCTTCTGATGGGGTGACACGAGGGATGAAAGTTTAGATGCAGCATTGATAAGACATGAATTTAGCAAGGGCTGTTCCACAAAATAAGGCAAAAATTGACAGATTAAACTACTGTAATAACAGGAGAAAAGCAAAACTTATTTGCTGAATAAAGCCCTTGCTAGCAAAGCTGGAAAACCACCAAAACCACCAAAAAAAAAAAAAAAAAAAAAAAAAAAAAAAAAAAAGAAAGAAAAGAAAATTTTTATACCAGACTTCTTATTTCAGTTTAGTTCATGTAGCTTATTCCCTGTTGGAAATTCCTCTGTCTCATTGATGTGCTAAAAATGGATTCAGGCTGTGAGGATAATTCATTTGGGCACAGGCTGGCACCAGCACAGCCAGAAGAAAAATGGGCAAGCCACAAATGCTTCCAGTTTAATTATTCTATTCCTTTACCACAGGACAATCTTTAAGTCACAGCCAATGTCAAGCTGGGATAAAAGGGATCCAGGGTGATGTTCTTGCAAAGCTGCCAAAATATGGGCTGGAGAATAGGCTTTTATTTGTTCATCTTCATTTGGTTCCTTTCCCTCTTGCAGACTCACTACGAGAGTGGAGAGTACATCATCCGCCAAGGGGCTCGAGGGGACACCTTCTTCATCATCAGCAAAGGAAAGGTGAGTTCACACCTTCCCAGGGCAAGGGGCTCCCAAAATCCCACTCCAGCCTCTCTCTCTCCCCTCCCAAGGCACAAATGTGCCAGCACTTGACATTTAATGGAGCTCCTTGGCTGGGTCAGGAAGGGAAGAGTAGCCTGAAGGGCTGAAAATTAAATCCCTTTCTGATTTGCACATGTGCTCCTGGGAAGCACTTTGGGGTGGAAACTGTTGTTGAGTCTCTGGGTAAATGACCACAAAAATAAATTTCTTTGAAATAAATCCTACAATACTCCATGATTTCTTTGCTAAGCATACCCCTTCCAAGGCTTCATTCCCATGACTCTTTTTTCCCAGCTTCTCCAAATAATAGACAGGCAGGGATGTTAGACCTCTCTCCATAGGGGGAAAAAAGGTCTAAGTTCCTCTTCCACTGCTCACAGAGAAAATATTTTTGACCTCTTTTCCCATAAAATGCTGATGGGATTTTATAGATCAAGTTTCTTCCTTCTATTCAACAATTATTTATAATTATTTTAGCCTGCCTAATACACTTGACAGACACTTGGCTTCATTCCATGTAGCAGGATGGAGATTTTGGAGGGAATGCATAGTGATTTCCAGCTGCCAACTCGTTTTCCACCATCAACTTCCACTTTCTGGGAGCCATTTTTTATTGTAAGGAAAAAAATTGTCTTTTTCAGATCAATAAGATTGTCGTGGAGAAGTTTTTGAAATTAAGTTAATCAGAGCCTGCAGAAATCCAAGTTTGTTGGTGTGATGCCCTTTTGCTTCCTTTCACTCAGAAATAATATTCCCTCTTTTGTCAGAGTATGGACAATCATGAGCCAAGCTTCAAATCCTTTTTCTTTTGCCATTTTTTCATGGGGAAAAATATTGGGATGGTGCATCTCCCTCCCACGGGTGTTTGGAGCTCTGTTGGCAACTGAGGCCCCACGTGGTCAGGTGGATCCCATCCCTTCCCAGCAGCACAAAATCCTGGAATGGCCTGGGTGGAAGGGATCTTAAAGCCCATCCAGTGCCACCCCTGCCATGGGGTGTCCACTGTCCCAGGCTGCTCCAAGCCTGGATGTCCAACATTGGGCACTGCCAGGGATCCAGGAGCAGCCACAGCTGCTCTGGGCACCCTGTGCCAGGGCCTGCCCACCCTGCCAGGGAACAATTCCTTCCCAATATCCCAACCATCCCTGCCCTCTGGCAGTGGAAGCCATTCCCTTGTCCTGCCCCTCCATCTCTTGTCCCCAGTCCCTCTCCAGCTCTCCTGGAACCCCTTTAGATACTGGCAGGGGCTTTGAGCTCTCCCTGGAGCCTTCTCCTCTCCAGGTGAGCACCCCCAGCTCTCCCAGCCTGGCTCCAGAGGGGCTCCAGCCCTTGGAGCATCTCCATGGTTCCTCTGGACTCATTCCAACATTCCTCAGGCTACAAAGAAATGTGAAAAATGAATCCCAGTTGTTGGCCTGCAGCCCTTGACCCTCACCCAGATGATGGAGAAGACCTCCCATGGCCTTGGCCATTTCCTCCTGGAGCAGCTCCTTGGCTTTGTCCCTGGCCTCTGCTCCTTTATCTTGCTGTGACAGCTGCAGGCCAGAAAAAGGGAGCTAAAATAAAACAAGGCACTGGGACTTGCTAAAAAATTCCCAGACTCTCAGCTGGAGCCTGATGGCTTGACAGAAATTCCCACAGGAATAGCTAAATCCTGCCCAGTTTTCTCTTCCAAGCTTATTGCTTTGGAAAAGAGACACCAGTGGCTGATGGGTGGATGGAGCAGGAGAGAGTTTAATTTTAATGCCTGGCTTAGGGTGGATGTAATAATTAATCCATGCTAAGGATACAGCCTTGGATAGTGGCTCAGCAGTGAAACACAGAATAAATTACAACAAAATACGGGATTTTAGCGATCCATGCTAAGGATACAGCCTTGGATAGTGGCTCAGCAGTGAAACAGAATAAATTACAACAAAATACAGGATTTTAGAATCTGTGTGTGCTGCCTGGCACCTGCAGAAGCTGGAGCACATCACCTCCCATGTCCTGTGGTAAAACTTGACTCAGGCAGTTCAACAAGGCAGGAAAATGCTGGCAGCAGCTCCTGCTCCTGGGAGCACACCTCCAGTGTCTGCAGTCAGCGTGAGCAGGATCAGGGAGAGGTCCTTAAGGAATGTCTGCCATGCCTGTCACGTCAGAGTGTCTGGAGTGACACAGAATCATGGAATTGTTTGGATTGAAAGGACCCTAAAGCCCATCCAGTGCCACATCTGCCATGGCAGGGACACCTTCCACCATCCCAGGCTGCTCCAAGCCCTGTCCAGCCTGGCCTTGGGCACTGCCAGGGATCCAGGGGCAGCCACAGCTGCTCTGGGCACCCTGTGCCAGGGTCTGCCCACCCTGCCAGGGATCAATCCCTTCCCAATATCCCATCCATCCCTGCCCTGTGGCAGTGGGAATCCATTCTCCATGTCCTGTCACTCCATCATTTGTCCCAAGTCCATCTCCAGCTCTCTTTTACCTTTACACCCTGGAATTCTGCTCTAAGGTCTCCCTGAGCCTTCTCTTCTCCAGGCTGAAGTGAGCAGAGATAATGTTTTACATTTCTGAGCCCATTACTCCTCTCAGAATATTGAGAAAACTTCTGCTCTGTTTTCTTCCAGCCCATCCTCCACTGATAATTCTTTTAGGACCAAATTCCTTTTTCCCTTCTTCCCTGTCAGCTCTATCCACCCCTCTTCACCCCACTCCTGAGCTCCTTTAGTGTATTTATTTTAACTTTTTTCCTCAAGTTCTACCAAGCAGAAATCAAAGTGATTTCCAAACATGCTGTGTGCAGGAATCTGTGGAATAATAATGGATGGAAATGGCTCATTCCCTTCTGCTTGGGAAGTGCTGCTTGCCTTTATCCAGAGGCAGCATGGGCCTTGCTGTGTCATTTCCCACCCTTTTCCTTTTAAAAGTCAGAATTAAATGCAGGTTCCCCACTGGAGACTGGCTCAGAGCTTTGAACCTGGTAGAAATCACTCTGTCCAAATCTCTGAACACTCTTTGCTTGGGATCAGTGGAAGTCATGGAAAAAAGGGCTGAAATCTCATAAAAGTTCCCTTTGTTTGTCCAGGGGTCTTCCTGGCTCATCCGCCCCACATTTCCTGCCCTTCCATAAGTCAGTGGAGGTGTTCAGCACCGTGTGCTGCTCATTAACCTCTCAAACCCACTGGTTCTGCCACCTCTTAAAGAGCTGGGAGAAGGTGCAGACCACAAGTGTAAATTTAATAGGGAAATTACACCAGGATATCACTGAATCTAAAAGGATGTGCCTGATATTCTACCTTCTGTCTTTGGGAATTCCCACGTGCAAATGCTCTGGTTAAAAATATGGAAAGATTTGATTTCTGCTCCAGCTGGAGTTGTCCCCTCCCTGAACTGGAGAGAGAGCAGAGCCACACTTCATCCTGCAATGCCCCAAACTGGTTCACTTCACTAATGTCCAAATGGTGGTGATTTGTGTTCGTCCTGTCCCTTCAGGGAACTTGGGAATGCTGGGAACCATGTGGAACAAAGCTAATGGAAGCTTAGGCCATAGATGATAGTTACACAGCAAATTTTTGGAAATTTATTCTCCTGTGACTGTGCTTGTGCAGCCCAACTCAACATTTAGAGTTGAAAATATTCCCAAAAATCCAAAGCTGCGTGTTTTTGCAGGACTAGTAGGAAATATTACTGAGCTTTTTTTTGGATGGGTGGTGCCAAGGGAACAGTGCAGGACTCTTCTCCTGTGACTGTGCTTGTGCAGCCCAACTCAACATTTAGAGTTGAAAACATTCCCAAAAATCCAAAGCTGTGTGTTTTTGCAGGTCTAGTAGGAAATATCACTGAGCATTTTTTGAATGGGTGGTTGGTGATGCCAAGGGAACAGTGCAGGACTTGGGGGAATTACATGGTTCCCAGAGGAGCCTTTCCTGAGAGATCCAGGAGGTGACAATTTCCTCTTTGAACAAAGAGGTTTTAGCTGTTAATGAACAGTTCCCTGAATCATGTGGGGTTTTGGCTTTTCCACAGGTGAACGTCACCCGGGAGGACTCTCCCAGTGAAGATCCTGTCTTTCTCCGCACTCTGGGGAAGGGGGATTGGTTTGGAGAAAAAGCCCTCCAAGGGTAAGTACTCCTTATGAAGTATTTCTTGAATTTTGATATTTTCTCCAGTATTTTTGCAGCTTTTAGGTGGTTCTGGCCATTTGGGAAGAGATTGGGAGTGGATTTATTCTTTTGGAGTCACTGGATTTGTGTTAGAAGGAGTCCCCACCTCAGTGGGAAATGGGCTTGTTCTGCACTTGAGCAGCCAAATGTAGACCTTCCCTTGCTTGTGGACATCAAAAATTAGTTTATCTTCATGTTTCCTTCCCCCAAAATCCATGGGAAGATCAAAAAGTTTGATTTTTGCAACTCTAGAGTGTTATTCCTGTATGGAAAAGCATAATTGTGGTCATGCTGATGGGGTGGATGGCTGAAAGCAGGGCAGTTTGGGGGGTTCAAATTGCCATGCTGTATTTATATGGGATTTTGGAGGTGGAAATTGGATGTCAGTGAGCACTTTTATATAAACATTTTCATTTGGAGATGAGCTAAAAGAAGAGAAGCTGCAAGTCCATATTCAGCCTATAAAAATAGGCTTCATTGAGGCAGGAATTTGGGACACTCATTCATTTTCATGGATAAACATCTTTTCCTGGGGGTTTATCTGGGTGCCAGAGCTGTTGGGCTTTTTTTGGGATGCTGTGGTAACATGGTCAATCCCTCCTCTACTACCCTTCTCCCCAATAAAAGGTGGCAAAATATTTGAAGGCAAAATTTCCTGGCACTTCTTGGCAGCTAGAGATGTATTGAGCACAAACCTCAAATCTATTAATCTCTTCGTTAATTACAAAATATTGTAGTTATTGAACAAATATCCTGATTCTGATGCCATCCCTGCACAGCCCTGGTGACACAGAGCATCCCCATGGGTGGGAATTCCTTGGCATTTCAAATAGAGTAGTTTGAGATTGGTTAATTTGCAATACTTGGCTGCATAAATTTGAATATTCAATATGGAAATATAAACTTAATTGTTGAGAGAATGTTCTCAGCATGCAGTGAAGGCACAATCCTGCAATCCCTGGAAGTGTCCAAAGGCTGGACAGGGCTTGGAGCAGCCTGGGACAGTGGAAGGACTCCCTGTCATGGCAGGGGTGACACTGGATGGGCCCTTCCAACCCAAACCATTCTGTGATCATTTTTTGCGCTAGAGAATTCCTCCAGAACCATCCCTCCAGTTTGCTGATAATCACAGGAGTCTTACAAGGAGATTTAAATGGAATAATGTGAAAATATTGTAATGTAAACATTTGGTAGCTCTAAAAATTGCTAATTAATGTGTTTCTGTCAGGATTGTTTGAGACATCTCTGTTTGGCCACTTGGGAAACCTTTAGGATGATTCCACTGCTGTAAAATACAGCTGTAAAATACAGCTATGGCTGAGAGCTTGAGATAAAATGGAATTTCTATGCTATTTTCTTTCCTTTTTTATCTTTGATTAATTTTTTAAAACTTTACCAGGGCCTTAGAAATACTTGGCATCCCAGAATGGTTTGGGTTGGAATGGACCTTACAGACCAAGGGACACTTTATTAAAACCTCATATATTTCGTGTGTGCAGAATAAAACAAGAGCTACAAATCATTTCTTCATTAAGATAGAAACAAATGCAGCAATGCAGCCTAGCAGGAGCTGGGATAACAAATCCCTCCCAGCAATATGTCCCTGACAGAGCCATCAGGGACTGATGTGCATTATCCCATTTTCCATGCTCACAGCAGATGGCACCCATTAGTTGCCAGTATCCCATTGCACACTGGCAGAGCAAGTCATGAAATGATGATCCACATCCTCTCCCAGGCCCCCTCGTACCTTCCTGGCTAATTGGAGGCAGCAGATGGATAATTTGCAGTCTAGCATGACATAATTTAGGGTGCTCCACCATCAGGTGCTGTTTTCTTCATTGCACAGGAACATTTGTTATGTAACAACATTTATAAACATAATAACATAATATCAAGATTTGTTATAAAGCAAGAATTGTTTCTATCAGCAGGGAAATAAAGTTCCTTCAAATCAGCACAGGGAGAGAACTCAATACATCTCAGGTGCTAAACTCAGTAATAACTCAATGTGAATAACTCAGTGTGGCTCAGGTACTAAAACTGGCTGATAAATTAGGGGGTGCTGCCTTGCTGGCATCACACAGCTGGATCTTGCTCCAGAACATCTGGAGCACACCACAGCCCTTTCCACAGGGATGTTTTAGGAGCAGCCATCCATCCCATTGGATGGAAAATGTGGTTTAAGCCCGTGGCAGGGAGTCTTGAGGCAGAAAATGATGGGGGAAGAAAAGAGGACAGAGAGCAGACCTTTAGGAAAATGAGGGTTCTGAGCACCCTGGGATAGGGGAATGTGTCCCTGCTCAAGGCAGGGGGTGGAATGGGGTGGGCCATAAGGTCCCTTCCAACTCAAACCAGTCTGGGATTCCACTGGAGGCGTCCTTCCTGCTGCATATTCCATCATATATTGGATTTACACAGGGCTAGGGGTTTGGGTGATGTGGGTTACATCTGGTTCTGGGATTCAGGAGGAGTTCTGGACCTGGAGCAGTGACTCCAGAATTGTTTTTTTTTTTATTAAATCTCTATTAACTCTGTAAGAGGTGCTGGGATCACCCCACTCCTGCTCCTCTGCTCACTGCTCTAATTCCCATTTTCCTTCTGTGTCCTTCAGTGATGCCACTGCTGGACTGACCTGACCTTTCCATTGCTCCTTTTCCCAAGGAATAACTGAAAATCTCAGTGTTTCTTTAAAAACTTCATAACCCAAATCTGGAAGCCTTTGGGGTGCCCCACCTTGCTGCCCCGCTCTCTCCTTTTCTGTCCTCTCCAGCTTTATTCATGTTTCTTGGCTGTCCTGGAAAGGAGCCCTTTTCCCTTTTTTTCCTTTTTCCATTTTTCTTTTTCCTTTTCCCTTTTCCTTTCCTCTCTGTAGCTTTTATGGGCTGAATCCTTTTCCAGTGTCCTCAAACTGACCTTCCCAGGAATCATGAGGGTTATATTCCATTTTCCTGGGACACCTTCCTTGCTATGCCCTGCTCCCACTAAAACCTTCTCATCTGCTGCCCTATGAACCTTGTCCTGAATTTTCCAGGGAAAAGGGAGTGGAATGGAGAATTGAAAATATTTGACACTCTGGGTGGCACGCAAATGTAAATGTGGCAGGAATTTCATCTCAGGGTGACATTTCCAGAGGTATATATGTGAATAAAAGATATATTTATCCTATAGGATAAAAATAGGAAAATACCATTGTAATTCCTATTTCTTCAGGGAGAACCACATCTCCTTCTGTTGCAATCTCTGTGTTTTTGGGAAAAGGCATCCAACCACCAAAAAGTGCTAGGAAAGGGCTTGAGAAGCAGCAAAATTCTTGTGTAGGAAAGCAGATGGAATTTATGATGGGAAAGGGCTGGAAAAATGGGCTGTGGGGTGGAAGGACAATGAGGAAAGATTCCCTCCTGGGATGGTTCGTCTTGGCATGAAGCCATTCCTTAGTCACAATGCTGAGACATTCCCTATTCCCAGTTTGGAAGAGTAGAAAAGGGAATTAAAAGCATCCATGGGGTAGGAATGCAGTCCAGGATAATGCAGTTTTCCAGCTAGGAGCTCCATGGAGATGGAGATGGAGATGTACCCATATGTAGAGGCCACCATAAAATGGAAGCAGTGCTTCAAGTGTTGATGTGCAGGAGAATGAATAAAAACAACCCCGAAAGAATAATAAACCCAACCTTCTCACTCTGGCAAGTTGAGAATCATTTTTGCCACCCTTGGTGCTAAATAATGGGATTTCTTCCATAAATCCAGGGTGTTTTTCCCCTTTTTCCCAACACCTGTGCCCTGTGTGTATCCCATGGACTGTGGATCTGACACATGGTCTCCAAGGACTGGCTGGAATTTTTGTTATCCATTATCTCAGATGCTTTTTACACGTCTTGCAAGCATTGGGTGATCTCAGAAGATCTTTCAGCCTTTATTTCCCTTTCCCTGCCAGGGAGTTGGGAGCCCTGAAGGATTTAGATCCATTCCTGACAGATTTAGATCCATCACCCTGAGGCGCAGGAAGCTTTTCCAGGTTTTGGGAAAGCTGTTGGCAATTCCTTGAAACAAAACCCTCCCAGAGGCTTTGGAGGGTGAGAGCTCCAAAGCTGGGACAGCTGCAAGTGGAGAGGCAAAGTGACACGGGGATGGTGTCACCATCTGCTCCCCTCAGGGCTGGAGGCATCTGGGCCTTGGAGCTGATTGATCTCCTGAGGACACCCCATGGCAAAAATTCAATTAAATTGTGGAAAATGTGGCCCTGCCCTGCCCAGGCTGCTGTTGGGATGGCCTGGCCTCAATGCCCTCAGCTCAAGAACAGATGGAGGAGGTTTATGATTGCAAAATTGTGGAATTTCCATCAGGCCCTTTGTGGTTTGCTTAATTCCACTGTTAGAAGCACGATGGATTTGCTTCCCTTCCTCCAAGTCAGGCTCTTCTCCCAGGTACCAAGCAACAGGAGAAGAGGAAATTACCAGGGGAGGTTCAGGCTGAACATCAGGAGGAATTTCTGCACCAAAAGGGTTGTAAAGCATTGGAACAGAGTGCCTAGGGAAGGTGGTAGAATCCCCAAAAAGCATAATCCTGGCATGGTCTGGAAGTGTCCAAGGCTTGGAGCACCCTGGGATAGTCAAAGATGTCCCTGCATGTGTCAGAAAGTGGGGACAAAATGAGCTTTAAGGTTTCAGCCCAAACCATCCTGGAATTCTGTGCTGATTTCCATGATTCTGGGCCTATTTTTGCCAATATATGAAGGAATGAGCTGGAAAGGACATTTCCCAGAGGGCAGAGCAAGGTGTGGTGGCTCTCACAGCATCCTGCTTGGGAGCACTGCACTGGGACTCCTGAGGAACAGTTTGTTTCTGCTTTTCCAGCAGGAATGAGCTGATATTATTGGCTCTTTCTGGCTAAAATCACAACACAGAATGGATTCTCCCAAAGCTCCATAAATGTGGCATTTCCAGCACCCAGAATTA